GTCAAAGAGCCACTGCAGAGGGACCAAAGAGCCACATGTGGCCCCAGAGCTTGCAGGTTGCAGACCCCTGCCCTAGAACGTTTTGTTCTCAGGCATTTTATTTGTTTCAAAGAAAGATAAAGGATAAAAATGTTGCCTTGAAAGTGAATAAGTAAATAAATAAATAAACCAGGTAATGGCAGGTGAAGGAAGCAGCAACGTCTAAAATACATCAGAAACTCACCCAAATGAGCAAATTCCGTGAGATTCCACATTTTATGCTGGAGTCCATTTTGTGTCAAATCCGTGATTTCTGCATTGCGGAAATCATAGGGTCCTACATATCCCAATCCTATTTTTATTTATTTTTTTATACACCTGGGAAATTTTTCCACATACCCCCTGTAATATGCTCATACCCCTGGTTGGGAATCACCGAGTTACACAATAAAAATGTCTATAACGTCCTAAAATACTTTATTTTTTCTGTGCTTGTTTTGTTTGTTGTCATACCTGATAATCAAAGTGTGTTTCTGATCCACCCTCTGGCCCCAGGCCGAGTTTGCCATTGGCCGCTTGGTGAGTATAATGTCTGAAACAAGCAACGGCCATAGCCAGTACCAGCACACCTCCCACCACTGCCATGGAAACAAGGGTGATGACCGTCCCATTGGAACCTTGAGAAACCCTGGATACCTGAGGGAGACCCCGTGCATCTGTTCTCTAAGAGAAGAAAGTATAAAAAAAGCACACATAAACAACTGGGTTATCTCCTTTCCTCAACATAAACTTTAGTTGATAGCCCACACTGAGCTGCTTCTCCAGAGAGTGTGCTCTCCTACAACTATAACTCAAAGGTCACTCATTTCATTTCTGTGATTTTGATTCTCAGTAAACTGCACAGGACGTCTGTGTGTGCTCACCGAGCAGCTGAGGTTGAGTTTTACAGACAGGGGTCAAGGCAGAGTGCTCTGCAAATCCATTAAAAAGACAGCTGAGGCCCCTGTGAAGATCAGCTAACCATCCTGCGGGGACGTGCCTCACAGCAGTGTGGCTCAAACATCAGCATTCCATCTGTTCTTAAACTTAAACCACTTGCACTGTGCTCCTCACACATAGAGCTTGTGCAGCTGCAGACTGCCATTAGTTTTACTGTGGTGTGTTTACATGCATGCACACAAATAACTTTTTTTGCAGCAATTTCACAGTGAAATTAGTAAAAACAGTCCTGAAACTTATTTTAGAGGACAACTGCAGAAAAYAGATCATAGATCAGGATTTATGTTCTGTTGTCTGTTGTCTAGCAAAGGAAATTATAGTGTTGTAACTTATTAACTAAAATTGTTTTCAATCAATGCAAAACAAACTTTAGATTTACATTTCTTAATAAATTAGAACCCAAACTATTTAAAATTAACCAATGAGTAAACCACTATGACATGATTTAAAATAAACAATGCACACTGTTGTAGGTGTAAGAGCCCATAAAATGCATCCAAGGTGCACAAAGGAGCGTTATTGCAGATCCTTCCTCCCAGCTGCTGTCAGACTCTATATCCGGCACCACGCCCAAAAGTCAAAATAAGTGTTTACAAAAATCACAATAAGTTCACACATCTGCTGCTGCCCACAGAATCATTGTACTGTTATTATTCACTGTCATTACCCATCTGAACAATCATTTGCACTACTACTCATTTGTATTACTAATCTGAGCAATCAGTTGCTCTGTTATTACCCATTTTAAACTTTAAAAATAATTCTGCTGTAATTGAACGTCTGTGTTTCTTTTCTGCACTGTGATACTTTATAGTTATTAATCTGTTGTGATTGTTTTGCACTGAAATAGGCAAATTCTAATTACTAATGTCAAATTCTGATATGTAACCACAGTATATAAAAAAGACGTGTCTTTTTTGTTTGTTCTTGCACAGTCCTTTATACTATACTGTATATATA